AAAAAAAAAAAAAAAAAAAAGAAAGTACTCTATTCCTGAAAGAGGGTTTATCTACCACCAATGATAAAACTGAGGACAATTCCCATTAATCATTTTGAAGAATTTCTAAGTTGGCAACCAGATTCCATTATTTTAAAAAAATGATGTACCTCTTATCTGATCAATGACCCATCTATTTTATTTGAAGATGTTGAAAAGAAAAACCTTTTTTCCTCTTCAACTTGTGTCCTGTATTTAGGGGCCTAAAAATTACCTGGCAATAGACATGTAAACAGGAGAAAAGACAAAGTTTATTTACGCATGCATGCAGGAACTTCCAGTAACAGAAAACTCAAAAGTGAAGGTTTATATTACCTCAACTTAACAAAAAGGAAGTTTTTAGGGCTCCAGAAGGAGAGTTTGGAAGCTTCCATTGGGTTGTTTTGTGTTTTTGAGACAAACTTTCAGCTCTATGGCCCAGGCTGGCATGCAGTGGCACAATCCTGGCTCATTGCAGCCTCCTCCGGTGCTCAAGCGGTTCTCCCACCTCAGCCTCCCAAGTAGCTGGGACTACAGGTGTGCACCACCACGCCCAGCTAATTAATTAATTAATTATTATTATTATTATTTTGGTAGAGAGCTCGCTATGTTGCCCGGACTAGTCTTGACCTCTTGGGTTCAAGCTATCCTCCCACCACCTCGGCTTCCTAAAGTGCTGGGATTACAGGCTGAGCCACCGCGCCCAGTCCATTGGGTTTTTTAGTGCTAATGCTAACCGATAGTCTGTCTTCCTGACCGCTGAATACTCCGAGAGGCTGTTAATGGCACCATGTTTTCTGGAGGTTCTGCTTTAGTCAGATAAGGGAAGTTTCATTAATATTTATTTCTACATCTTCTGTAGCTCAAATATTTTCACCTAAAAACAATCTTTATGTTGACTCTGGGGGTCAAAGTGCATCCCCACAGTGGAAAAGCTCTTGTCCCAATCTCTACAGGAATCAGTCTGAAATCTTGGGACATATCTAAGCCTGTCCATCGTGATTGACGCATAAGCAGTGGTTCAGGGCACCGAGTTAGCGATTCTAGTAGGTAAGCAAGACCGTGTCAAGAAGTGGTTCATGAGAAGGCAAAAACGAGGGAGAGTGACAGTCGTTGTTCTTTAAGAGGACCCGGTGGTGGAGGAGAAAGTTGCACATCGGCCCTGAACCGGGCGGACCCTGATCTGGGGCCTGAGGACACGATTTGGGGAAACCTCGGCGGCATCCGGGCTCCGCTTGATGCCAGTGCGTGTTTGTGCAAGTTACTTCCTCAAGTTCAGGGTGAGGGTAATAATATCTACCGCGCGGAGTTGCTGGGAAGATTCACCGCCAACCAAGGCAGAGCGCACGGCTTGCAGGAAGCGCTCGCTGGGGTCTGCTCTTTCCGGGAATGGGTGGGGCGCGCACTCCTCACAGGGTTCCTAAGACTTGCGTCACGCGCCCCAGTCCGCTGGCTTATAAAACCCTGCCAGAGCCCCAAGATCGCTTTTAGTTTCTGTTCTTTCTGAGGGAGCCTCTCGGGGCCCGGCTGGGGAATCTCAGCCTCGCCGAGCCTAGAACCGGCAGATTTACCCGCGCGTCCACTTTCTTTCCACCCAGTTGCCCTTGCGGCCGCTGTAAACCTGCCACTAGGACCGGGTCGGTGAGATCTAGCCTCTTGACCTGAGAGCCGAGAGAGGGGAAGCCAAAATCGCTGGGCTGGGCTAACAGCTGCGGAGAGCGCGCCCTCGCTGGCTCGGGCGCGCCCAGCAGGAGCACCGCCCGCACCCGCCCCTGGACACTTGTAAGTTTCGATTTCACCGCTGCCGAGTCCTGCGCGGCGGCAGAGCCAGCACAGCCAGCACAGCGAGCGCGCCATGGCGGATCCGGAGGTGTGCTGCTTCATCACCAAAATCCTGTGCGCCCACAGGGGCCGCATGGACATGGACGCCCTGCTCCAGGAGATCAAGCTGTCGGAGGAGCAGCTCTGTGAGGTGCTGCAGGTGGCCGGGCCCGACCGCTTCGTGGTGTTGGAGACCGGCGGCGTGGTCGGGGTCACCCGATCGGTGGTGGCCACCACTCGAGCCCGGGTCTGCCGTCGCAAGTACTGCCAGAGTCGCTGCGATAACCTGCATCTCTGCAAGCTCAACTTGCTGGGCCGGTGCAACTATTCGCAGTCGGATCGGTGAGTGCACCTGGAGGGAGGGGCGCTCCTCGCAGCCCAGGTCGGGGCGGTTAGTCCTGGCGCTGTTCTGAGTGGCGCGGCCTCGCCGGGACCCGCATACCCGACGGCTTCTGCCTCCAGCCACCCCCTTCTCTGCTCCCCTCCGGGAGCCCTCGCTGGGCCCGTACATCTCCCTTTGCAGTTCTCTTCCTTCCGGCATCTCCAGACCTTTTTTCTAGAGTGCTTAAAGCGCTAGTGCCTGGCGGAGACTAGGCTCCCTCCACCCCTTTCCCCGCCCTAAAAAATCAGAAGAATAAAGTGCTCTGTGGCTAGCCAGGGCCTAGAGAAGCGGGAGGCAGGGTTGGGAAGGAAGGAAAGGGCCAACACTCCTTGGTATCTTGAGTCTTTCCCTCCCTGCTGCCTTCTTCCCTAGACGTGGCGGAGTCTTCCCTGCACCCCAGCCGCGCTGGGCCCGGGGTCTGTCTCCGCCGCCGCGAGCCACAGGTCTCTGCTTGTCCCTCCCTTCCTGGTCACCCGTATGCCCCCCTCATCACCACTTTTCAGATGCCTGGCGCCCAACAGGCGGCCAACCTCTTCCAGGTTCCCAAAGCTGCAGCAGCCGCCGGGCCTTCCCTCCCGGTGGCGTCTCCGCGGTGGCGCGCGCCGTTGACCGCCTGCCTTGGGACCACGCACATCGGTTTGAAGCAGTGCGGCTCACCTCTCGGGCCACTGCTTTTGTTGTATCCATTTGCCTTTTTTTTTTTTTTTTTTTTCCCTCGTCTAAATGCAGGTGTCCTGCAAGGTTTGGGTTAAGCCTCTTGATTGTTATTCTTTCCAGTCTCTTCCTAAGAGTGCTTGCTCCCTCGGGGACAGCTGCATGTCAAAAAAGATGGCTTCCGGGTCCACATTCGCGGCCCAGGCCTTTCCCTTGATCCCGAGCCCTTCCTCTCTCGCGTCTGAGAAACAGCCATGCCCTCTTGTGCTGTCCAGAGGGTTAAGCTCATCTTTCCCCCCAGGCGGGGTCTTAATCCTTCTCCTCCTTCACAATCCATCTTCAAGTCGTTTTTGTGAAGTCTCTTTCCCTTCTCATTTGTGACTGAACTGAATGAATGCCTTGTTGAATTAATGAATGCTTCTCTCTGGCCAGTCTTTCCTTCCACCCTTTCTGTCACTATGTGCTTCTGTTCATTTATTTTTCTCGATAGAGTACTTTTTACACTTGGTCCATTCTTAAACACTCTGAATGGTGTCCCAGGGTTTAAAATGGTGGTCAGCAAACATTTTTTTGGGGGGCGGGGGGGGTGGGGGAGACAGCTCTATCGCCCAGGCTGGAGTGCAGTGGCGCCATCTTGGCTCACTGCAACGTCAGCCTCCCGGGTTCAAGCGATTCTCCTGAGAATACTCAGCCTCCTGAGTAGCTGGGATTGCAGGTGCCCGCCACCACGCCCGGCTAATTTTTGTGTTTTTAGTAGAGACAGGGGTTTGTCATGTTGGCCAGGATGGTCTGGAACGCCTGATCTCAGGTGGTCCACCTGCCTCGGCCTCCCAAAGTGCTGGGGTTACAGGCATGAGCCACCACCTCCGGCTGGTCAGCAAACTGATCAGGGACTTAACTAACAAAACACTCCAGTCACTCACCCCAATATACCGGTAATAAACACACAAAGGTAAGTGTTTTAGATGAATGAGGTAGAGGACACAGTATATATTTTTTAAAAATTTGTTTACAACAAAAACCCTTTCAGCTCACGCTAATATTTTTAAAAAGTGCTTGAGTGTGTTCTTTTATTTAAATATTTCTTTAATATGTTGTGAGGCAACAATTTGAAGGTTGTTTCTGAGTTGCTTGGGAGTATGGGTATCGAGGAAATCTACGTCATCGCTGGCCACTGAAAAAATCTCAGAGAAGAAGGCGGCAGAGGGTGGAGAGTAGAAAAGAAAGGAACATTCTAGCACGTTCTAGCAATACACAAAATAGGGTTGGAAGGCTTTTGTTAGGTTTTTTCTGTTCTTATCTTTTATGACAAATTCCTCACCAACTAGTGTTGACTTTTAGTTTGAAATCCATATACTTCTTATTTTTTGATTTCTTACTATGGATGTTTTCAACATACTCAAAAGTAGAAAAAAATGATGAATCCCCTCATACCCATCATTTCACTTCAACGGTTTTCAAAACATGACCAGTTTTGTTTCATTTATTCTCTCTATTCCCCATGTGTCCCCAATTCCAAGGTGTTGTTTTAAAGCAAATCTCAGCAACCATTTGATTACTAAGTACTTCAGTATCTCTAAAGATAAGAATTATATTTTATTAACAATACAGTACAATGATCGCATTTTTGTAAAAAAAAAATTACAATTTTAGTATCACCTAATGCACAGTTGATATTCAGATTTCCCTGATTGTCTTATAAATCCAGCTTATATTTTCAGGAAAACCATACACAGACATAATCCATTAAAAAATTTTTTTTCAATTTTTTAGTTTTTTGAGATAGGGTCTGTCACCCAAGTCTGAAGTGCAGTGGCCCAATCTCGGCTCAATGCAAACTCTGACTCTCGGTTCAAGCAATTCTACTGCTTCAGACTCCCAAGTAGCTGGGATTAGAGGCGTTTGCCACCATGCTTGGCTAATTTTTTGTATTTTTAGTAGAGATGGGGTTTCGCCATGTTTGCCAGGCTGGTCTTGAACTCCTGAGCTCAAGAGATCTGCCCGCCTTGGCCGGCCTCCCAAAATGCTGGGATTACAGGCCTGAGCCACTGCCAGGCCTGGCCCATAATTGTTTTCATTTGTTATATATCTAACATTTAAATACTTTGTTTCAATTTGTTGTAGGCAATATGCTTAGAAATTTTAGTTTTATGAATTTTATTATGGTATATTTTTGCCTGGTTTGAAACAGCAAAACCGTTTTAAACTCATTAATTGGGTTGTTAACTTGTACTTTTATAAGAGTATATATAGTGTGGGGATTATATAGTCTATGTAAATTTAGATGGACCTTCCAGAGAATTCAATGACGTTTATTTTTTTTAGTAGAACGATAAAATCTTATTTCCTCATGTTTATTGTGCTAGCTATATTTTAAATTTCATTTTATATCACTTTTGAATCTGGGAAACAAACCTTTAATCCATTAATGTATAAGGTGTTCTAATAAGAACCTCTGGGATAATTTTTTGTGTTTGTGTGGCCTTGGATCCTAGAAAACATGTTTTTTCCCTCCAAGTATGTTTTAAAAATATTCTCCTCTTAGCAAGTTACAAAACGTTGTCTTCCAAAACTTGCCACTTGTGAGTTTAAGGACGTAGATTACCAGTTAATGGGGCCTGTTAGCTAATTGATACCCATCTTGATGTTTCTATTCAGTTCAGTAAACTGGTCTCTGTTTATAGCGGGCGATTTGCATTGTTGCTGGATGTATACAATTTTGTCTGTGGTATTATTTATAGGTAGTATGTATCCTGTCTATTCTGTAGCTTCTGTCTTTTCTTTTGTAATGCTTTTAGTTATACATTTTAGTTGACAATAGGGCTTACTTCGATGTTGGATAATTGTTTTGGTGAATCGGTTTGGATATTTCTATTTGCTTTGCTGAAATATATGCCCACACATGGAGTTCTAATCCCAGTTCTGATGCAAAAATAATCACCATTTATTGAACAAATAACTGTACCAAACACTATGATAAGCACTTTAGAGATGATATCCAGGTTAGTCTTTAGGATAGCTCCTAAGGGAGTATTTTAAGTCCCATCCTTATTATAGGAAACTCAAGCATAGAGCCTTTCAGAAAGCTACTGAAAGTAACATAACTAGAAGCTGGTAGGATTGGTATTTGAACCCAGATCTGCATGACTCTTTTGTTTGTTTGTTTGTTTGTTTTTGAGACAGAGTCTTGTTCTGTCGCCAGGCGCCAGGCTGGAGTATAGTGGTGTGATCTTGGCTCACTGCAACCTCCGCCTCCCGGGTTCAAGCAATTCTCCTGCCTCAGCCTCCCGAGTAGCTGGGACTACAGGTGGGCATCACCATGCCCAGTTAACTTTTTTTTTTTTTTTTTTTTTGGTGACGGGGCCTCACTCTGTCACCCAGGCTAGAGTGCAGTGGTGGGATCTCAGCTAGTTGCAATGTCCGCCTCCTGGGTTCAACCAGTTCTCCTTGTCTTAGCCTCCCGAGTAGCTGGGCAACTGCCACCGCACCTGGCTAATGTTTGTATTTTTAGATAGTATTTTGCCATTTTGCCCGGGCTGGTCTCAAACTCCTGGGCTTAAGCAATCTTCCCAGCCTCCCAAAGAGCTAGGATTACAGGCATGAGCCACTGCGCCCAGCCTGCTTGACTTCTTAACTAGCTACTTCCATTGTCCAGTAACTATATGAAGCTATTAATTCAAAAATTTTTGCATGCATGATTTCTGTTTAACTGTTTAAAGCAGGCTGCCTGAGCGTCTTTTCCTTGCTTTGTGGCTTCTGCCAACGCGGGTGTTTCCTCTGGGTTCTTTCCTGTTTGTATGCCTTTCCCTTTTGGTTAGTTCACATTTTGGGTGGGGTTGGGTAGATGGGAAGAGCACTAGTTGACTATTTCAAAAATTGGATAGAATACTGAAAAATGCAAAGTATTTACTGTATAACAAGCATCAGAGTATATTTATTCTGAACCTATGACAAATTGTACCTCCTAGAATAAATAAGGGCTCACATTTTTCAGTTTTGCTCCTTCTCTTTTAAAATACAGTAAACAATCATAACAGGCCTAAGGTTATTTTTTCTCTTCCCCAGTCTCATTTCCCTCTTTCCTAAGAAGCAACTTCCATCATGATTTTGGTGTGTATCTTGCCCTTCCATGATTTTATAATTTGCCCTTGTGTATATTTGTAGCCATAAACAAAATGCAGTATTATTGTATGTGTTTTAGAGTTTTTACTCAATGCTTTGTTTTGGAGATCTATTCATGTTGCTACACAAGGACCTAGTTTATTCATTTTAACAGTTGAAAAGTATTTATTATAGATTTATACCG